CTGCAATTCAACAGGTGTTCTTCATGCAAAAGGACTCTACAACTGTGGCACCAATTTCCAACCAAACCAAGTTAACAACATTTTTAAGGTGCTTCGTTTTGGTAAAATTGTCCTCACTAAACTCCATTTGTTTTACTAACAATTGTAGAGATTTTGAAAGATTTAACAAGTTTTTAGTGGTTTACATAATTCCTTATTTATATAACTGGGCATTAATTTCTCCCTTACCTGAGAAAATTTCTTAGAAATAAAAATAAAAATCTAACATTTAGCTGGATCTTTAAAATTCTAGTATATTTGCAATCTCTAATGAAATGGCCCAATGGGTAGCCTATAAGCATGGGTACCACAAAACATGGGTTCCAAGATCACTGTGGGACCTTGGGCAGGTCACTTACCCCTTCTGTGTTTCAGTTATTCCCATTTTACAGATGGGGAAACTACAGCCATTCTGAGCTCCTCAACTGACTGATACCAGATGAACATAAATAATTGTTTCCAATTGTTTTTCCCTTGGGATGTGAAAAGTATTCTGTATTACATGAGAAAAGTTGATCAGTTGACTATATTGTCTGAAGGACATTTTAGTGTCAAGTACAGTTTAAAGTAAACATTATTTCATTTGTGAATTGCAGAACGAAAGCTACATGGCTTGGGTTTGCTGAAGAATCATCCTTTTGAAAGTCAGTATTTCTGGGGTAAAACCGCTCAAGGGTTGATTGAGGATGACCATGTTCCATTTTTAATGAGAGGTACTGGAACCATTTTAATATTTCTTAACTAGTTTATGAGATTACTGTAATTTCAGGGGCAGATGATTATTTTAAGCAAGTGAGCAAGTTTGTAACAGGCCAGAATTTGCAAATGTAGCTTCTTAAAATTTGAGGCTCCAAAATACATTTTCAGATGGATTAAGCTCTATGGATCCAAACAAGTTTCATAGCAGTAGAACACCAGTTTTCTTCTTCCAAAAGCACAATTCCCCACCATCTGAGCACAAAGGACTCTTGGTACACTAGCTAGTGTGTTACAGCACAACTGAGACTAGTGAAATAACTTCTCGTTCTTCACCTTGACATTTCACAACCATAAAAGGGGAACTTAGTTTAGAGGATTATTGAGCTGATATTGAGAGTCTTACTCAATTCCAGTAATTTTTTTCCCTGGGTTCTCTAGTGCAGTGGTTCTCAATCAGACATCCTGGACCCTCTGGGTAGGCCATGAGCGTGTTTAAGAAGTTCCGTCAAGCAGGGCCAGTGTTAGACTCACTGGAACTCAGGGCAGAAAACTGAAGCCCCAATATATGGGGCTAAAGCCCAGTACATTGAGCTCTGCCCCAAGGCACCAACGCCAAAACTGAGCAGCATAGTTTTGTGAGGAGCCTCTGTGGCATGGGACCCCTGGTAACTGCACTGCTTACTACCTTCTACCACAGGGGTGGGCAATAATTTTGATGGTGGGCACACCAAGATTTTGGTAAGTGGTCAAGGGCCACACTTTTTATGGAGGGATGTGGGTCTGGGACAGAGGTTGGGTGCAGAAGGGAGCTTGGGGTAGGAGCCTGGGGTGCAGGAGTGGGGTCTGAGGAGGAGTTTGAGTAAAGGAAGGGGTTGTGACCTGGGGCAGAAGATTGGTGTGCAGGGTCTGGGAAGGGATGGGGTGAAGGAGTGGATTTTGACCTAGGGGAGGAATGTAAAAGGGGGTGCAGGATCTGGGAGGGAGCTGTGACCTGGGGCAGGGAAGAGTGCAGAGAGTTTGGGTCAGGAGGAGGTGGTGACCTGGACAGGGAGCTAGAGAATAGCTGATTAGCAGAGCCCGCACAGCACCCACATCCAGCAGCATGTCTTTATACTTGTGGTGCACATTTGCACAAGCCTGGGTGCACATAAAATGTATTTCTGTCATGGATAGAAAATGTTAAAGGAAACATTGGTGGTGACCACAGTGTTGTACGGCTCAGAGTTGAGGAAAGCAGGGTAAGGTGCCACCTTCCATGTGTAAGCTATTGCTAGGATACCAAAAAGAGAACTTAATGAAAAGATGAGAAGAGCCACTACTCTCACAAGACACCACAGGTGATAAGCTCCTCTAACATCATGGGAAGAGCCAAAGAGACGTGTCTTATTTGTTTGCTTCTGGGAAGCTTCTGAACAAGGGGGAGGTAGGGAACAGGATGGAGGAAAAAAAGGGGGATAGGTGGAGAATGAATTTAATTCTCCATTATCCAAACAGTTCCTTACACAACCACACCTCACTCCTCCAATGGATTGGTGCCTAAGGGTTTCACCTAACCAGAATTGCAGAACTATCATGCTGGGATTGCTGATAGCCAAGTGTAAGAAAGGCCATTTTACAAGGCAATAAAGCGATAAGTACGGCATCCAAAAAAATCCCAGAGATCAGGATAACTGCTTTGTAGAACATAGCAACAAGAGCATTATACTAGAACAGAGTTGTCTTGGGGAAAGCTACATTGGCTACAATGTTTCATAGCTCATAAGCAAGCACAGTACGAGCATGATTGCAAGGCTGAGAGCTGCTATCACATTCCAACCACAACTAGCACAGTACGAGCATGATTGCAAGGCTGAGAGCTGCTATCACATTCCAACCACAACTATGGTCACTTTTTTTTTTTTTTTTTTTTTTTTTTTTAAAGAGGGAGAACTGGGAAGGAAAGTAGACTAATTTTAGGAACCATACAGCGTAACCAATAAGTTTCTGTAGTCACCACTGGGGTCAGAGGAACAGTGGAAGGAAACTGTAAATATATCAGCTTGTTATGGAGTCATATTGAAGAATAGACTGACTGTAGCCCTGGCTTAGGGACTCCTCCACTTGTAACATAATGCATGTTAATTTGCTCATTGAAAAAGCTTATGCGCTCTCTCTGAATTCCTCTCTCTTCCAGGGGTTCAAGTTCTTCACTTGATCCCATCCCCTTTCCCTAAGGTGTGGCACACCATGGAGGACAATGAAGAAAACCTCAGCAAAACCACTACTGACAACCTCAATAAAATCCTACAAGTGTTTGTGCTGGAATATCTCGGTCTGTGATAGCACAGTGGCTCTGAAGCACTGCTCTGTTTTAAATACTGCTACCAGTCCCAAACATCAAGTTCTTAATCATCTCACCTGCAGCTAACTGTGATGAAGAGCACTAAAGGCAAAGCATGATGTGGTACCAACTCTTGTTAGTCAGAGGTCAGCTGTCTTTGGCTACACAGTCTAGTGAAGTCAGATGAAAATGCCATTAAACAAGAATTGTCAGCCTGAAAAGAGCCTGGTCCTCCACATCTCACCTGAGAGAGAGAAGGGAAACCTGTATTTTTCCATGTCACTATCACTGGTTTTAGTCCAGACATTAAAACGAAATAGAATCCAGATCCTGAATATAAATACTTCCTAATGTAGGGCTTAGCTGCCATTTTTATACAGTGAATAACGTTTAAAGTTCAAAACTGGAAAGAGCTTCCAGAATTTCTGGCATGCCAAGTAAAGCACACCTTAAAACACCAATGCATGTTCTTAATCCCCAAGAAGCAGAGAAGAGACCATACTGTCTTTTCCCTGTCCTTGGGAAAAGGCAGGCTTTCAAGGAAAAAGTGGATATTGGGAGGGAAGGGCGGCAAGAGAAAAGTTCCTGCACACACTATGCATCCATGAAAGAGTCAGCCACAATTTGTTCCAAAATAAATAGGCCCTTGAAGAATAAATAGGCCTAACCACCAGGTGGTATCGCAAAACCAAGCAAAATCAGAACTGACCACATTTTAATTATGTGCATTTTTTAAACTACCGGGTTGTAAAAATCTTTTGAAATGCAATGCAAGCTGCAGACTAGTGGCACTAATGAAATAAGCATTATAGGGTTCCAAACAGTGAGGCCAGGTCTACACAATGGGCCAGGTCAGGTCAAGGTACACAATTTCCAGCTACATAAAAAAAAATTATCTGGAGTTAATAAACCCTAAGCCAAGATTCGGCACTGTCCTCTCAGCGGGAGGTCGACAGGAGAAATGCTCCCATCAACTTCCCTTACACCTCACGTGTGCAGATGGGAGAACTCTCAGCATTCAATTTAGCAGGTTTTTACTAGACCTGCTAAATCAACTGCTGGAAAAAGATTGCTGCAGCATTGATCTCCCTACAAATGGAGACATGGCCTGAGAGGCTAGTACCACACAAGGAGAAGCAAACAAAATGTTCTAAGCTAAGAGTGATAACCATAGGCTAGGTTTTGCCACCCTCTCTCATTTGGGACTATTAAAAGAGTAAATTCAGTGCAACGGTGGCAGAATCCAGCCCTAAATTGAACAAACTCATGGGAGAAGCAAAGAGAATGAGTTCAAGAGATGAACTGAAAAGACCAGGCATTTTAAGGTCACAGTCTTCCCCTGCTGAGACTCTTACACTAGCAAGTTCGGTTCTATACAATGACACAGTACAAATTAATATTCAAAAGGGGTCATTGTTATGGCACTGACTTGCATTTTAGATTTTGTACAAATAAGCTTTTCTAACTCTAAGATGAGTATTTCCAAGACTTCAGATTCTAATAGGAACACTGAAGGCACTGAACAGTCTCTTGCAGTGTTTGTAGCCCAATGTTGCAACATTGTTTTATTATGAGAATCTGAAAATTAAATGTTGTTCTATTTTCATTGTCCCCGTTAAGAGAAATGCAACAGGTAAAAACAACATAAGATGGATTCTAAAGATTTTTCAATGTTAATAATTTAAGTCCCTATTTGTAACATAAGCAAAAACTGGAATTTTTAAAATGAGATTTATAAACTTTACATCCTCCTATTAAGATGCAATAACCTGGATGCATTCTCTAAAACAGAGCACAGTAAACTTCAAAAACAGACAGACACATGTATTTTAGTAAGTGTGTGGTAAAAGTTGTCTTACTAAATAAAAATATTTGGAGTCTTTGCTAGTGTGTGTGTGTTGTTTACAGGTTTGGAGAGAATAATTTTAAGTTATCATTTGAGGTTTGAACATTAATGATGTTATACTAATGGCAAAGCAGCACATGAGATGCCTATACAATGCCACTAGACAGAAAAAGTATTAACTAAAGGGAAAGCTATAAAAACTGCCATGAATTTAGAGACATTTTAAGTTTCTACAAGTCTATTAATTTTCACACTAAAACAGTATGGAACTTTTGAAGGTCCCCATGGCTCCTGAGGAAAGTACAACACTTTTATCCCCAGATCAGCTAGCTAACATCACCAGCTTTATCAAGTGTCTGAGGTTTCCTCTGGAAGGTAAATTTGTATTTGCTACCAGCTCCCTGCTTAGGGCCTGAACTAAAAGGTACTGAGCAGATGCAGAACTCACTGACTTCAGTGGGTTGCAAGAGCTCAGCTTTGGGGAGTGAGACTATTTATAGCTCTAACAAGAAAGTTCAGTGGTTCAGAAGACACCCTTTCCTTGAGCACCTAAGAAAACTAGGGACCCTCCCCCTTAAGAGTTTCCAGGCCCCAGAGCTCATCAAAAAAGGCTTACCTGGAATGGCGTAAGTCTCAGATCCCAAATGGAGGAACGCCTCAGCAAAGGAGATGGTCCACAATGCAGCTGGAAGAGAGCAGGTGCTAGAAGGTATAAGTGACCCAGAGCAATGAGTCCAAACAACAATTAAAAGCACACTCTTAGCCACAGGAAACCCTAAATTGATTGACAGACAAATCAAAAGCACAGTTTGAAGTGTGGTTTCCCTGGTCCGTACAGACAGAGCAGAACACTTGGTAGAAAAGTTGGGGGCAGATTATCACTTACCATTGCCTCAGAAGACAAAATGACAGGAGCTTGGAGTGGAACCAATTAAGAGCATACTGGAAATGTATAAAAGATAATGACATCTGAAAAGCATCTCCCCTTCTCTATCTGCATAGTGAATACTATGGGACACAGCAAAGATGAAGAACTCCAGGCTGTCAGCTGATCCACAACTTGCAAAGCTCCTACCTGAAATTCCTTAGATAGCTGTTACCAGTCAATCATCTGACTATAACAGTTCCATTTTTTGACCTTTTGGTTCCTGCAGGAAGCCAGCAGCCGCTACCAGAGCCTTTGAAAAAGTGTGCACGGTGTGGCTTATATCAAAAAGGGAAAAGTACTAAGTGTTGCTAAGGGAAAGATCTCTCTGATGAGAACGACATTCAATGGTATTGCAGTAATGCATAGGAGCTCCACTTATGCACCAGGACCCCATTTTGGTAGGAACTCTATCCAAAAGACAAAAAAAAGACTGTCAAGAGTTTAAGATCTCTCACATCCACAGGCCATATCATTGGCTTATTTCCAGTGCAGCCTTTGGAGTTGATTTATTGGTTAACCCAGAATTCTCTGCTAGGTGGAGTCCTCACAGCCTCCTCTGTACAACACCACCTCTCTGTGTATTTGACTTGTAGAACTGGTTTGTGACAGCCGCGGTGCCAACTCTGCCCCCCACACATCTATACAAGCAAATTCATTACTGGAGCCAACAACATAAGCTTACCAAATCAGAGGATCATTCAATTGCACATTCAGTAATTTGATCTATGCCATCAAATGCCAGCAATGCTCCACTGCTATATATAATTGGACAAACTGGACAGTCCATACGGGAAAGAATCTATGGACACAAATCAGATATATGTAAAGGGAACATACAAAAACCTGGTGGACAGCACTTCAATCTACCTAATCACACTTTAAAAGATCTCCAGCTGGCGGTCTTATCACAAACCAATTCTACAAGTCAAATACGCAGAGAGGTGTTGGAATTACAATTCATCCGCAAGTTCAGTTCTCATGCTGACGGCTTCATTCGTGATTACAGATGGCTGGGACACTACCAACTTAACATTCAACGAAGGAGCAAACAGCTCTTTGTGTAGATTCTAGCATTAGCACCCTTCCTACCTATTACTATCCTTTGATCTGTTTCTTTTCAACTATCCAATCTTCAGGTGTTTATAGATTGCCAGTTCTGCCTCCTTGTTTTTCCCTTTGATATTTCCATACCCTCTGCTCCTTGTTTCCTCCCCTCCCCCCTTTTTTATTCCTCCCCATGTCTCCCTTCTCCCCTATTTATTTTGGGTCTGCAGATCCTAAACTCAAAACTTCGGTCAATCTGAAGTAGTGGGCTGTGCCCACAAAAACTCACGATACCATCTACATGTTCTTTTAGTCTATAAAGTGCTACCAGACCATTTGTTGTTTTTTATATTTACAACAGTAAGTCAGCTGCAGAGATGTGTTTCTATTAGAGCCTCTGTTACCAGCACATCTCTGGTATGTATAGTAAATTAGCAATTCAAAAATACTTAATAAGTGTACAAATACAGTGCAGTTCAGAAAAAATACTGAAACTTGAGGAGACGCTGTGGATTCAATTCTCCATTGGGGCTTTAAATCAAACGTGTCTTCAATTTGAAGGGTGCCTTCTACTAAACAGATGCAATGAATACGATATATCACACAATTAAAAAAAATGCAATTGAATTAGAGACCATTCCTAAACATAGTTACAAGTTTTATACTGTAAAGAACAGTTTCTATTTTACTAAAACTGCTATGCTGAGGGTAATATAACTTAGGGCTCAAGAAGTACAAAAGGCCTGTTTAATATCTTCTGCACTGGGATGAATTTCACCTTAAATGTGAACTTCTAATAAAAACTAATAAAAGGTGTGGTTACAAAACAGGAGTGACTATTAAACCAACTGTTTTTCTAGATGAAAATATATGGTGCGTCGTAGTTCACTAGCACTAGGTTATCCTTGATTTCCAGATACAGTACTGTTATTCTTCCTAACACTTTACTGAATGAATGACAAACTGTTAGCTCGTCTACTAGAAAGAACCAGGTCAGGTTTACACACACACTTTGGCATAACTGCATTGCTCACAGGTGTGAAAAATCCACACCTGAATGATAGTTATACAGACCGTAACCCTCCATATAGAGTGTTATATCAGCAGGAGAGCATCTCCTGCCAACACAGCTACTGCCTCTTGTGAAGATGGTGTTATTAAGCTGACAGATGCTTTCTTCTGTCAGCTAAGAGCCTCTTCACCAGCTATGCTGATGTAACTTTGTAGGGTAGACCTTCCCTAAGAATTAGATCCCCATTTGTAACTCTATAGCCATGGTTCACAGCAGATGGCACCCAGGCAGTCCCCACCAACCGACTTTTCAACAGAACACAGCTTCTTTTTTCTGAGGGGAGGTAGGAGAGGAAACCCTCATCGATGTCTCCAAGTGGACTGCTGTGAGCAGTGGGGAGATAAAGTGAAAATGGTTTCTGTGGAACTGCAAAACTCCACAACTATTGTACGGGATCAGAAAGTCTCAAACCCCCAAGTAAAGGTTTAAGCTTTAGAGAAGTGTTTGTTTCCTAACTTAATTAGCTCTGAAGGAAAAAGATCTTAATCTTTTTGGTCAAACATAATATCTTCAGATAACATCTGACTAGATTTCAAAGTTGGGTCACCTAGATATAGATGATGACAACTGGTGCTCTATCAGTAGCTAAGATGGGTGGACAGTTTGGTGAGCAGGCAAGCTAGCAAAGGGAGAGCCTTTGTGCTGAGGACAGTGAGAGGGACAAGTCTGTGCATGGGGAACTGTGTGGCAAGGAGAACAATGGGAAAAGGCAACCTGTTTCTGCAGAGTGAGAGATGCAGAAAACAATGTAGAAACCACTTGTGTCTAGTGTGCAATACAACAGGAACAAAGGAAATAATAAAAAACCATGTTAGCAGAAGACCTATCCATGGGATCATCGTAGCAAAGGGGGAATGGGAAGGTGAAAAGGGGAGGAGCTCTTTTGGCATGAATTTTTGTACCTAGAGCGGCTTCCGGGATAGGGCATTCATTTGGGGAGCATAGGGTGGTGAGTTAAAGTCTAGCCTCCACTCTCCACCCACCTTGGGAGCAGTCAGACAGCCATCACAGAATGCCCTAGGGATGGAGCTGGCTCCCGCATTAGGAAAGCAGGATAAGGGACACTCTGAAGGTGTTGGGGTGGGTTCTGGAGTGGCCTAGAGGATATGGCTATGTGCACATGTATTAGAAAAAAAATAGATAAATGTACATAAAAATTAGGCACAATGTTGCCAATGTGGCCCTCAGTACCACAAACCAGAACATCTCTGCCATATATTGCATTCTCTTTTTCTGCACCATTGATGTGTGTGTGAACTAGGTGTATAATTGGTTAACTATTTTCTGAAGCTATAAAGGAGAAATACAAAGTCACAAAAGAAAAGGTATTTCAGCAATCTGAAGGATGAACTAGTGGTTTAATGAGAGTGAGCCATTAACTATCTATTTTATACTTTTATGGACATAGCCATAATCAAGAAATAGGTGCTTCCAAAATTTGAAGTTTCTAATATTTTATTTCCCAGTACATTTTCATGTAATTTTGCAATAAAAATACAAAGATGAGTAAGGACCAGTTACAAGAAAGTGGATGATAACTTTGTACCTCAATAAAATCTACAAGAAATTATATATATAAAAAAAATTCCTTAATATCAATAAGAAATGTAAAAGTTTTAGTTTGTCCTCACACTGGACAGTAAACGGTGTATTGACAGGAAAAACCTGTTCCGATCAAAGAAAATCTGTGGTCATAATTTTTAAGAAAAATGAGAACTGGTGCAGAACAGATTGTGCAATTGCAATGGTTCATCATTCAGTAAATAATTTTCAGTTGAAAAGAATGGAGGATGCTACGCCATCACAATTTTTCTCTCTCATGAAACTGTGTTCATGTTATGCTTTAGCACATTATTGGAGGAAAAAGAAAGGCGAACAGAAAATCTGCATGTGAATAAACTCGGTAACTGTAAAAACTTTGCAAGACAAGTTTCACAACTTTGGCAAGCATTTGTTGCATCTTATAAATTAACATAAAAATGAAAATGCAAT